TTTGCTACAAGAGGTAGACATCAAGGCATCTCTTTAAAAAAAGAAAATGTTTAGAAGTGCAATTGAAATACATGTATACTCCAGAGCAATGCATTTATTTGAAATTCACCAATGATATGAAGTTCTTTCAATTCTGTACAGTTTGAGAGCTATTTCAAATGTAATCTGTGCTTACCACTACTCAAATAAGACAGTTGTTGGCAATAGAAACCACTTGGGTTCTAACTCATACTACGTATACATAAAACCACCATTTGGACTAACAAAGCAATTCATTCGTTAGTTTAATATTAGTTTTAATTTAATTTTGGGAGTCAATTTGCCACTGAGAAAAGACTGTTATTTTTTATAAGATACCATGAAAATGGTTTATTACTATTACAAATATTTTAGTAAATGATATATTGGGTCAGTCAATAAAATAACTAATAATCTGTTTTTTCTCTTACAGTATGTTTTGCCATCTTATGAAATGGCAGTGAAAATGCCAGAAAAGGAACCGCCACCTCCTTACATTCCTGCCTGAAGCAGCCAAATTTCTAGCAAAATAACTGTATACCTTCATTTTTTATATTGTAAGATTGCTTAAATATTCAGGGTTTTAGGAGCAACCATATGAGGTTAAGAGGCATTTGATATCATCTTACTAAACAAAATTCATAAGGGAGTGATTTTTCTCCCTCTTGCTAGCTTTAATTTTATTGATCTTAAATCTCTTAAGTAATTCTTGCTATGCTTTCTTTTTCAATTTCTGCTTCTGTATACAACTCCAATTCTATGGATTTGTAATTTCGTTTTGGTTCAAGAAACACGTTTATTAAGTTAAGTAAGTTCTGGATATTACACATTTAGAAAATCAAGCATCTTGCAAGTATAGATTAGTTCTGAAGAACAATCATTTCAATAGCAAGATTTTTTTTCTTTCATTTTTAATGTGGGAAAATTAGTTCCTGTGTGGTGCACTATTGCATATATGTATTTACCTGAAACTTTTTGTGTTATGTTAGTTTTTACTGTGTTATCCTTATGCCTTGAAACAATATTTTGGAAGTTGGAATTAATAGTTTGACATTTTTTATCATATAATATGAATGCCAGAAAAAGACACTACTTTTGTCATTTACTTGCTTCAAATCTGTATGTATTTTCATCTTTGTTTATAAAAGATGCTTTAATAAATCTTTAAGAAAATAATTTGAGGGATTGTTTAAGGTATATACTATAGGTATCTGGATTAATTACTTTTACATTTTTGTTGAAATAACAGTTCAGTCAAGAGCTGAAATACAATTATAAAACTTAGTGAACTGATCTTTCTTTTTTCCTCTTCCCACAATTTCAGTTTAATTAAATTGCAGTAACATTAACAATGATGGTGGCACTTTAAGGATAGGATAAGAAGATAATTAAAACAGGCTAAATACCTATCAAAAATGTTGAAGCAATAAGTTGCTAAGGAAAAACTATTCTCAGAAAATATTAAACAAGGAATTGCTCTTACATTATTAATGTTGTATTAAAGTTTTCAAGAAAAGACTGAGATTCATTCCAACTCTATGGTTCTAGGATACAATATATATTTAACTAGAGGTCATTGTCACCAGAAGGATAATCTAGAGATGGCTCTAACTTTAGTAATTCAGTGTTTACTTACTTGAAATCATGAATTTGGTTGGATTGTTATTAAGAATTAGTACATAGGATTTTAAGGATATAGTTGGGGGTGCTTCAGCTTTTAATGCAAAAAGTTGATTGTAGTACAGGTATAAATCTTCTGTAAGTAAAATGACAATTATCTTTTTTTATCAGCTGAAGCCAGCTGGGTGATTTGGGGCCATTTAAATTAGGAGGTGAGAGCATTTTGTATAGGACCTTATGTTGTACAAAAATGAAGGCTAGTAATAAAAACCACTGTGTAATATTAGGAATTTTAAACAAAATCTTGACAAGAGGGTAAAGGAAATGTCAGACATATTTGTAGAAAAACATTATCACTGATGCTTAGTGATGGATCTATAAGCCCAGGATAACATGAACTATTACTTCTGTTATTTTCTATAGTTCTGAAATCCAAGAATAAAGATGTACTGGCCATACTGGCACACTGAGCAAAACATCTGTACTGCTTAGAAGTTTCCTAAGACAAAGGAAGTAATGGACATCAAAACAGGGTTTTCTCAATTCCTATAAAAATGGAAATTTGAATTCATTAACAAATACAGTTTGGTAAGACTTGGTTAGTCTTGGTATACATGATTTCAGAGTTTAAAAAAAGCCACTTCCTTAACAAAAACTCTGGTTTTTATCTACATTATATATCAAATACAATAATTTCCAAAGTCATCATGGCATGCTATGAAATAATATATTTTGGGGATAATAACTACAATTAAAAATAGAATTCACACTCTTATATGCAATTCCTGTATCACCTATCTGAATCTTTGACATACAGGTAGTCCTTGACTTAACAACATTCATTTTGTGACTGTTGAAAGTTAATGGCACTGAAAAAGCGACTTATGACCGTTTTTCACACAACCAATGCAGCACCCCATGGTCACGTGATCAAAATCTGGATGCTTGGCAACTGGTTCATATTTATGACAGTTGCTGTGTCTTAGGTCCTAGGATCAAGATAACCTTTATTGTCATTTTTTTACTGTAGGCATGTCACACATAAAAAATGAAACTTAGTTGCCTGCTATCAAAGTGAAACATACATGACACACACCTAAACATACTATGTACAATATATGTATAGACCCACACCCCTATATATACATAGCAAATAAATATTAAATATTGTCCATCTTGAATATATAACGGAAGGAGGAAGCTTGACAGTTCACAAGGTTAACGCTGTATGGAATGAAACTATTGGCTGAATCTAGATCAGTGGTTCTCAACCTTTCCAATGCCGCGACCCCATAATACAGTTCCCCATGTTGTGGTGACCCCCAACCACTTATACATCACCGGGTGTCAGGGGCATGGCCAAAGGGGGAAAAATGGCGGACAGCCTTGTTTGGTGACCCCCGTGAAATGGTCGTTCGACCCCAAATGGGGTCCCGACCCACAGGTTGAGAACCACTGATCTAGATGTTCTGCTACGGATACCACGAAGTCTCCTCCCAGAAGGTAACAAGGAAAACAGGTCATGAAGAGGATGTGTAGTGTCCCAGATAATCTTACGGACCCTGCTCAAGCAACGCTTCTGTGCTATGTCCTGGATGGAAGGGAGGGAACTGCCAATGATCTTTTCAGCCATCCTCACCTCTCTCTGCACCGCCTTCCTGTCTGAAGGGATCCCCTTTTGCGACCTTCTTACAAAGTCAGTAGGGAAGCCAGATTCACTTAACAACCATGTTACTAATTTAACAACTGCAGTGATTCACTTAACAACTATGTCAAGAAAGGCATAAAATGGGGAAAATTTACTTAACTGTCTCACTTAGCAACAGAAATTTTGAGTTCAATTGCTGTAATTTCAGGAATATCTACCTGTATATATGATATGACATAGCCCCAAGTTTTGTCATGACGCAACAATATCGGTTCAATACAATTGTTTTCAGTACTTAAGCACAAATATTGGACCAATGGCTCTTGGGAACCTATGCTCAGCAGCTAATAACGTTTATTTTCCAGACCCAGGATAGCAGATAGAGAACATTTTGTGTTTTTTTTTTTTTTGACAAAATAACAATTGCCCTGGGTTTCACATATTTTTGTATAAGCAATCCTCACTTAACAGTTGTAATTGGGACAGGCTAGATTTTTACAGTGTTTCTCAACCTTGACAATTTTAAGGTAGGTAGACTTCAACTCCCAGAATTCCACAGCCAGCATTGCTGGCTGTGGAATTCTGGGAGTTGTCGTCCACCTGCCTTAAAATTGTCAAGGTTGAGAAACACTGGGCTACAATGACACTAAGTGCCACAATGTTGCATGACCACACTGATTTCTGACAGCAGTTGCAGCAACCCAGTAATCATTGTTAGGGGAATCCCATGCAGCTGGCTTTCCCACTGACTTTGCTTGTTAAAAGTCAGTAATAAAGATCACAAATGGTTTTCATGTGTCTATGGGATACAATGCAAATGTAGTCAGGTTGCCAAACACATAAATAGTACATTGATGTACTATAATGCAGTACAGGTAGTCCTTGACTTACAATAATTCGTTTAATAATCATTCAAAGTTACAACAGCACTGAAAAATGTGACTTATGACCATTTTTTAGTTACCTCTGCAGCATCCCCATGATCATATGATCAAAATTCAGATGCTTGGCAACTAGTTCCTATTTATGACCACTGCTGTGTCCCAAGGTCATGTGATTACCTTTTGTGACCTGACAAGCAAAGTCAATGGGGAAGCCAGATTCATTTAACAACCGGTTTACTAACTTATCAACTGCAGTGATTTACTTAACAACTGTGGTAAGAAAGGTAAAATGGGACAAAACTCACTTAACAAATGTCTTACTTAACAACATAATTTTTTTATCAAATTGTCCTAAGTTGAGGACTATCTGTATAAAGTAATTTCATTTTTTATTGTTAGCTGCCAAAAAATCTGCAAGGCTGTGTCCAGGAAGTCACCAGGAATTGAATTACTCAAGAAAAACTGTGTGTGTCTGTGTCCCTATGTATAATTCAGAAATCATGGAATATTGAAATTGGTGTTTTTTATACTAATATAAAAAAGTTCTTTGTATTTTATCCATTATTTGATTTTATATCACATACACTGCTTTATAATTAACTTAAGGCAGTGAACATACATAATAGAGGTAGTCCTCGACTTACGACAATTGAGTCCAAAATTTCTGTTGCTGAGACATTTGTTAAATAGGTTTTGCCCAATTTTATGAACTTTCTTACTGCAGTTGTTAAGTAATCACTGCAGTTAAGTTAGTAACCCGGTTGTTAAGTGACTCTAGCTTCCCCATTGACTTTGCTTATCAGAAAGTCGCAAAAGGTGATCACATGACCTTGGGACACTGTAACGGTCATAAATATAAACCAATGCCAAGCGTCTGAATTTTGATCCCCTGATCATGGGTATGCTGCAAAAGTCGTAACTGTGAAAGCGGTCATTAAACCAACTGTTTTAAGTTGAGTACACCTTGCTCCTCCTATTTTCCCCACAACAAGCCTGTAAAGTGGGTTAGGCTGAGAGAGACTGGTCTGAAATCACCCAGCCAGCTTTCCTACTTAAGAGGGGACTAGAAGTTAGTCTTCTGGCCCCCAGGTCAGCACCTTAATGATTGAATCAGACTGGTTCTCATTAATATTTTAATTTAATAATTGTAATAATGAATTATTCTTTTATTATACTTTAAATGGAAACACCCTTTTAACAACAGACCGCTGAAGGTATTTTTTGTTTAGATAATATCAACGCAAATAAAACGGATTTTTGCATGTTACAACGTGTTTGTAAACTCGGGGTTAAGCATCTTGCATGAACGTGGTATCCATCACAAGCAGGATGATTAACCCTTTCCTGGCAAACCAAAGTCATTCCCAATTTCTTTTCAGGAATACGAGCTGTGGTCAAGAGCTTTTGGCCTCAATCTTTTTAAAAAGTCGCTAACCTTTCTTCAACCTAGGCATACCACAAGTCACTCTTAATCTGCAAAGTGACTAGAATGAAGGCCTCTAATCATATTAATTTAAAAAAAATCTATTCGCATAGCCAATCTGTTCCTTTTCTCCTCAAATCACGGCAGCCCGTCATTGGTTTGGTTTTCCTCCACGCACAAATAGCCCAGATGTATCTAAGTTGCTGCTCTCAAGGTGCCTCGTGCCTGGGCAGAAGCACCCGCCTTTTCCAGCCCGACCCGGCTCGTCTGAAAACCTCCGAGGACCTTTCCTCTGAATAAATCTATCAACCGGAGCTTGCGGGTGTCACGTGTCGTCCTTACTGTAGGCAGGAGCGCCCAAGCCAGTAGTGGGAAGCTCTGATGTCTCTAGTCTCGTTTTAGATTTGCCCAGTGACGGAAGAGGAGGCGCAGGACGGGCAGCTGAGGAAGGCTCGCCGCGCTTCCCGGTCGCCGTCTAGGAACAAACATGGCTGGAGATGCGAGGATCGAAACCGCCGCGGACTTGCTAGCTGCAGCCCACGAGCACTTCCAAGGGCTGCATGAGAGGGCGGAGGAGCTCTACAGCCAATACATTCATCACTGCGCATGCTCCGACATGAGGTGATTCGACGCGGATCCCAATCTGAAATAGTGGCGAATATCTGTAGCTCGGGTGTAGGTTGGTGGGTGAAGGCTCGTTCTCCGAGCTTGTGGATTGGTTTCCGAAACGTTTCGTTACCAGGCTAGGTAACATCTTCAGAGGAGTTTACGGCGCCCTAAACTCCGCTGAAGATGTTACCTAGCCTGGTAGAAACGTTTCGGGAACCAACCTACAAGCTCGGAGAACGAACCTTCGCCCTCCTTCCAATCTGAGCCTATCGCGGCGGTGGGATTCTTGCCGAGTTGCTTTGAGCTCTATTGCTTGTCAGAGTGATTGATTGATTGATTATATGCCCTCGAATCGTTCTCGGCTCCCAGCGACCACACACACAGATCTTCTCCAGGGAGATCTATTTGCCTGACCTGTTCTTTCGGGTCTGCCAGCGGTGCACTCGGCGTTGAGTGCAATAATTGAGTCTATCCAGCCTGTTGGTGGTTCCTCTTCTTCACTTTCCTTCCATCCTTCACAGCATTGGAGCCTTTTCCAGAGAGCTGGGTCTGAAGCAGGATAGTCGGAGCCCTGGTCCTTTTGCTAGAATGGCAGGGACCTTTATAAAAAAAGCTGAGAAAGCGAAACAGCAATATATTAAAAGATGGAAGATGTATGAGCTTCTGTATTCTGAAAGGGGAATCCTCAATTAGTGGAAATGGATAGAGATGGGGTGGGGCAGAACCAAACAGCAACCAGGTGCTCAGTGTAATGCTTTACAACAGGTGGGTCCAATTCTTGGGCTGCTTGTGGCCTTGGCCAGCTAGTAACGTGGTCCCACAAGATTGTAAACTTTTAACATTAAGTGATTTTATATTATGAAAATATATGTTTTATATGCAGCCCAAAACGATTCCTCTTCACTCAGTGTGGCCCAAGCAAGCCAAAAGGTTGGACATCCATGCTTTACAGCATTTTACCAGCCTCTGTCCCCCAGACCTCCCCATGGTCTCATCGCTGCCTAAAGAATTGTAGAAGGCTAGCCTGTGAGTATAGATTATCCCAAACGAGGAATCCTATGGTAGTACAGTCCTATGGTAGTACAGTATCTTTTCAGAGTAACAAAATGTTCTTTCTTGAGTGTTAACTTTAATTGCAATTGCTATAGCACTTAAACTTACATACCCCCTCATAGTGCTTTACAGCGTTCTCTAAGTGATCTATAGAGTCAGCATATTGTCCCAACAATCTGGGTCCTCATTTTACCAACTTGGGAAGGATGGGAGGCTGAGTCAACCTTGAGCCGGTGAGAATTGAACTGCTGGCGGTCAGCAGAGTTAACCTACAATACTGCGCTATCACTTTCATACAAAGCTTTTTGGCCGGATAAAGAGTAGTGGTAATGGTGATGACTGTGTTGTGCTATATGCGGCATGCTAATGTTAGGGATGACATCTGTTAATATCTGCATTTTTTGGCTAGGATGCCATACACACAACCAAAGCTCAGTTTTATCCCAAGCATGCTCATATTATTCTGTACAACCTAGGATTTTGAATTTAGAGGCCACTTTGCAAACCCATATCCTACTAAGTTGCATGAACTGTACTGAGCTGCCCCTGAGAAATTATTTGATTTTATCTCAAGGAGCATTCCATATTATACTATGCTTAATATGGTAATGAAAAAAAAATGTAAATGAAGAAATTACAGGTAGTCATTGACTTAAGATCACAATTGAACCCAACATTTCTGTTGCTAAGCAAGACAATTGTTAAGTGAGTTTTGCTCCATTTTACGATCTTTCTTGCCACAATTAAGTGAATCACTGCAGTTGCTAAGTTAGTAAATTAAGTGAACCTGGCTTCCCCATAGACTTTGCTTGTCAGATGGTTGCAAAAGATGATCATATGACCCTGGGACACTGCAACTGTCATAAATATATGCCAGTTCCAAGTGTCCAAGTTTTGATCACCTGACTGTGGGGATGCTGCAACGATCATGTGAAAAATAATTAAAAGTCATTTTTTTAGTTCTGTAGTAAATAATAATAATAAAGTTGGAAGGGACCTTGGAGGACATCTAGTCCAACCCCCTGCTCAGGCAGGAAACCTGATACCATTGCAGACAAATGGTTGTCCAATCTCTTCTTAAAAACTTCCAGTGTTGGAGCTTTCACCGCTTCTGGAGGCAGGTTGTTCCACTGGTTAATTGTTCTAACTGTCAGGAAGTTTCTCCTTAGTTCGAGGTTGCTTTTCTCCTTGATTGGTTTCCATCCGTTGCTTCTTGTCCTGCCTTCAGGCACTTTGGAGAATAGCTTGACTCCCTCTTCTTCGTGGCAACCCCTGAGATATTGGAATACTGCTATCATGTCCGCCCTCATCCTTATTTTCATTAAACTAGACATACCCAATTCCAGCAACCGTTCCTTATATGTTTTAGTGACTTTGTACAGTCACTAAACAAATGGTTGTATTGTAGGTCAAGGATTATCAGTATAATAATCTTTTTTCTTTTTCCTTTAAGCAAACATCTTTGCCATGATCTGGCAACAGCACTTAACAACAGAGGACAAATTAAATACTTCAGAGTTGAATTCTATGAAGCTATGGATGATTATACGTCAGCTATACAAGCACAACCAGATTTTGAAATCCCTTATTATAACAGAGGATTAATATTATATAGGCTAGGTATGTACATACTCTTTTCTTTGATATTTATAATCATAATTGTTTTGTGATTGCTTGACTATTTTCTCTTTAATAGAGCTTTGTAAATGTATTCCTTTCAGGAAATGTATTTCTTTTTTTGAGAGAGATCCAATATCCAATATTACTGGGAAGTTCTTGTGAAATTGTATAAGTGTTTTATTTACTATATATATTAAAACATTTAGATAATGCTTCCCTCAGAGTTTGCAATATACATAAAAATAACAAAAACTTTAAGTTAAAACCATTAACAAAAACATGTACATTAAAAGTTGATGGAAAGGCCTACATTCATACTGGAAAGGCCTAGGTGAAAATACAGATTTTCAGGAGTGCCTAATTATTGGGGCAGGGAGAGCAACCTTTCAAAAGAAGGAGGTTCATCTGTCCATAGTCCATGATGGTAATTTGCAAATAGTGATACTGTTGTTGGTATTCCCTAGATGATTTTAATCATACTATAGGTCAGTGTTTCCCAAACTTGACAATTTTAAGGCACGAGGACTTCAACTCCCAGAATTCCACAGCCAGCAATGCTGGCTGTGGAATTCTGGGAGTTGAAGTCCACATGCCTTAAAATTGTCAAGATTGGGAAACACTGCTATAGGTTAATGTGATCTATAGTACTGTAGATATCCATTGCCTTCAAGCTTAATGTTTGACTTGTGTGAATGCACATTGATACTGACCAACTCCTGCTCTGTGAATGTACATTCAGAGTATTGAATAATCCATCCTTTTAAAAATCCTGTTGCCGTTACCTGTCCTTTCTTTAAGTATCAGAGTTCCACAGAACATAGTACAATAAGTAACAAAACTTTCTGGCAGTCAGTTCTGATTTGCATGGAAATGAGTTATGAATAAACAGAGAAAACTTGCAAAAAAAAAACCTTGCCATAGCATCATAAAAAAGAGGGGATGTGCCCCCTATTTTTGAGATGCTTTATTGAAATATATAAATTTAATGTATTGTTTTTCATCCCAAAACATAAAAGCCCAAGTTCTAAAATAATGTTTGCAAAGTATATATTTATTCCTCTGATGAGAGATTATAGCAATATATTTAAAAAATAAATGGGTAGAAATTTCCTAATGGAAAGATTTAATACTATTATGCTGCAATCATGATTAACATTATTTACTTCCTTCTCTTTCATAAGTATAATATTATATAGAAATTGCAATGTTGGGTTATTAGCCTAACCCTAAAATTCTTATTTCATATTCATTCCATGTCATCATGGAATCTCCTTAGATTTTAGAGGTTCTACAGGAACTGTTGCTTGGAAAACAAGTTCATGATGAGCAAAGAAATTGTTTAGTTGTTTGTATTACAGGAAAGTTGCATACAAGTTAGTGAGCAGTTAAATATTGCTTTGGAAATAAAAAATACTACTATGTTAGAAAAATAAAAGATCTCTATAAGAATTTTTTATCTGTTTATTCTTTGACTTGCACATATAAAACCTCTTCCAAGCATGTACAGTCATGAAGAGATTAAGATAATAATCTATGTTAAAAGAAATGTGAAATATAGATTTCACAATTCTTTTAAATGTTAGAAAAGCATGCACACCTTTATGCTTTGCTCTTTCAGTAATCTGATTCACTTTTCAGGAAAACTGCTGGAGACCGAAAAATTAGGACTTAGTTCATTGCTATGTTTAATCAGAAATTGTGCTCTGCTCAATTAGGCCTACTTCTTAGTAAATCTAAAATGTGTTAGTCTGAATAATGTAATAATACAGTTTGTTTTACTCTTTTTATATATAAAATAACATAAAATCATCCCTTGTTTCCCTTTCATATGCAGGATTCTTTGATGAGGCCTTGAAGGATTTCAGGAAGGTGTTAGAGCTAAATCCCAAATTTGAAGATGCTTCTTTGGGTTTAAGGCAGACTCTCCTTGACAAAGAAAACAAGTTAAGAAGAGGTCATTGAAGTCTAGTGTGTAGAAGAAACAGGCTGTGAGATTGGAATATTTGGTAAAGATGTAAATTTCCTGGGGTGAGGGGTAAGGGTGTTAACTTCTCAGTTTTGAATACCGGTAGATCAATTTCCATGCAAATCAATCCTCAAGATGTCAAACATTTGGCATGACTACTTACAGCGCTTGTATTAAAACTGATTTTAATTACATGAAGATTTTATTCTGTAGTTTGGTGCTATGTATATTGGCAAGTTATATAAAACAAATTTCCTTGATAACCAGCTACTTCCTCATTAGAATATTATATTCCATTAATAAGCAATATCAAAGATATGAATTAGTGCAGAACTTCTACATACTAACATTGGTGATTCCCCATAATACCTAATTTTTGGTATTAATACTAACATTGGTGATTCCCCCACAATACATAATTTTTGGCTTCAAAAATATATCATTTTTATAAGCAATTAGATTTGTATGTAATATATTAAGCTTTGGTTATTTCTGCTCTCACAGCATTATGGACTGTTGTTCTCCCTGTATTCTCATTATTGAAATTAGGCTGAGAGATGATGGATTATGTACTATGTGCACACCCAACTCTAAATGTGAGATCTTATCATATTTGGTGTGATGAAATAAATTTATTTGTGTAATCTCAATAGTTCATTGAAAACTTAAACTTTTTAGAAAGGAATGTATTGGTGAAAACCTTGTAGTAGCAGGTTTTAAATCTCATATATGACCAACTTAAAAATTTGTATCTTCTGTTTTTAATTCATGATGCTTTTATTATTAGGAAGTTAGCATGAAACATATTTTAACAATCCCAAGTAAAGCTGGCCAAGGTAAGTAGAACTGCATGGTTATACCTGTAGGAAAGAAAAAAAATATATAGTTAGTTCATTATAGATGCCAGTGCTTGTAAGGTAAATAAATGGATGCCCTACACCAGGGGTGTCAAACTCGCAACATCATGTGACGTGTCACGATGTATCGCAACTTTTTTTCTATTGCCAGCAATGGGGTGGGTGTGGTTCCGCCATGACACATCCAGCCTGCGGGCCGGCAGTTTGACACCCATGCCCTACACTTTTGTCCTTGTGCAAGATCTATTCTCCCAAACTCACTGATTAATGTATGGCTATATAGTTTGCTTAATCAACAGTTTGCAATACTTAACTCAGACTTCTGTTTCAAGGTAAGTACTGACATTCAAATGTTGCTTGTAAGCCAGTGGCTTAAAAACTTTGCCAGAACTAGCAATCGTTTTAAAGGAAGCTCTAAGCAAGTGATCCCCTACCTCCCCATTTCCTCAGGGGACTTCCTTGGGTAGTAGTAAGAACAGGGGCTCAGAAGTACAAGCCTAATTGAGAAGTAATCTGGGGATATAAGGATGGTGCTACCACATCAAGTAAGAGCTACACAGAATGCCAAATCATTTGCAGGAGTGGTCTTTGATTAGGTTACTCTCTGATACTTCAGTTTTCTGATACTCCAAACTAAAATATGGGATACCAACAGTATTACAATTTCATGCTATCCTCCTGTGAAGTTTAGTCCTTTGTTTGCTAAGGATTTAAGTAGATCTTTAAGTTGTCCTTGAATGAATCCTTTGGCTGAATATTATTTTAATAAATAGTGGCTTGTTCTTGTATTAAAAGGGATTTACTTACATCACTGTCTTTGTGTGGGACCTTATTAAAGCATTTCCTAATCTAAAATCGTATTATTGCATTGCTTCATATAAAAATAAACAATAACTGAGAAGTTATATTTGTAGAGGAGAAAGTTGAAGATTATTATCTACTAATTTCCTCCCTGACATTATTCTATGGATTCTATTAAACATGTACTTAATAAACTTGAAACTTCCAACACTGATTTAAAAAAACTGTAGAAAACAATTATATATTATAATTATACATAATACTGTGTGAAACATATTTTAACACTCGCAATACACATACACCTATTACATATTACTATAAGGAAATGATACTGGGAAGTACAAAAATTATATAATAGCAGTTTTTCACAAACAAAAGATGGGGTTTTTTTAAGACCAAGGGAGTTATACTAAATTTATCAACAGGTTAGATTACTAATTTTATATAACTTTTATTACTTGATGAAATTGTTGCCTTATAAAAGCAAGGAAGACATCTGACTCCGATGATATTTTTAGTGCATTGGTGTAAAAAGTACCCTGGTTTTATTAATCTCTTGCTTTACTAGAAGTACATTGTAAAACTTTCAGATAAATCCTTTCCTTTTGATTTTAGTTTAATTTAGTCTACTTATAATGGGGCAATATTGCACTTATTCCTGAAGAGGATAAGGATTCCTAATTATTTTACCTATTTCTTTGATAAATGTGGAAGCTATGATTTTTAAAAGTTACATTGGTCATAGATTGCAGGATGTTCTGCCATCTAAGAATCCCAAGTTTTCTGACAATATCTGATTTTTAACTGATGTTATTGCTCAAACTCAGATAGAATGCATCAATTTTCATTTCTTGGGACATAGGGAAAGACCGTGATATGGTTTCTTGAAAGTTTTTGAGGTGGGATTGTAACATATTTTGGATTCCCTTCAAACTGTTAATTTTGTACTGATTTATTCAGCCCCTAAATCATGGTTTATTATTGATGGCATGCCTCTTCTTAGGAATAACATTGCTGTTATGTGTTGAATTAAGAATACTTAAATGCATCTATGATCCCTGAAATATTATTCTACACAATTACACCAATGATAGTCTAGTCCAGCAGTTTTGATTCTACTAGCATTCACCTCAGTTTTTATAATCATTTTCAGCCCCGAAACCTACCTTATTTCTTGTGATGTTCAATTGTTTAAATTGCTCAGGCTGAAGGAGAAAGACTGGTCCAAGTACTACATAACCATGATGGTTAGGGTAAATTTCAGAATGCTGATCTAAAGCATTGTAAGAAGTATTGGTTAAGTATCCATTGAATAAACAGATAGCAAGTAGGAACTTGCAATATACAATGAACTCACAGTGTATTAGTAACCACTCTATTAATGGATGGTGTCTCTCCAACTTTCATTAGAAAACTTACCAATTATTGTTCCAGGAGGGCATGGTTTACAGGGAAGTCCGCTACTAGGCACACGGAGGCAAGTGCCAATATTTGCTGTGCAGTGCAAATATACCTAAATAGGGATTAAAAAGATATATAAGGAACAGAACCTTTATTAGAAGTCCTATAAGATTATGTGAATAAAATTTACCAAGCTGAACTTCAATTGTTCTTATATTCTATGTAACTGATTCATGAAGAAATACCTTCAAGAAGAAAAGTTAGAATAGCTTGGATTTTAACATCACTTTCCTCTAAATATTTAGAGTAGCAATATATGAAATGCCAGCATTTTACCGCTTAAAAGCAAAAGAGGTGGTGACATCCTTGAGCACACAGATGATCAAAAAAAGATATTGTACTTAGAAATTTGCACATGGTGTTAAACTAGGACTTTGTACTTGGCTTCGCTTGTATGAATCTGTAGTGATCTTTTTTTAAAAAAAAATAGATCTAACTTCATCATTTTCACGATTTTAATTGAAAATTAGTAATTTATTTGCACCATACATAATCATTTTCACTTGTTTTTAACATTTAAGATTGCTTAGTGTCTATAAATGGAAGCAGTTTGATTTCTTCCATAGATATTTAACACAATGACCACTGCAAACTGATTCATGCGATTTGGTCAGTGTTTTATACAGTAAGTCAGTAATACCTCTGTCAGAGGAAGAGTCAGATTCTGTATCCTCACTCTTTTGAAGTGATTGGGATATTTTATTCGATTGCTTGCGGTTACTGGAGAGAAGATCACAGATCCATAGCTTTTGGTTTCACATCTATTTGGTAGGATGAGAAAATCCCCGTTGTTAGACAATAGATTTAACCAAAATAATTACAAATAATTCTGGAGTGTTACTTGCCCATATGCAATAAAGTTCCAGTGTGGCATACTGTTGATTTCTTCAGATTGTGTCATCCAGCAGTTTTCCAAAAATAGCTCAACATTAGGAGCTTCGTCTTTTAATTCTACTTCAAAAAATAGAGGTTCCCACAAACCCTTGAAAACTAGTGAATGAGACTTATAGGTTTCTGTGAATGATTCATCTGGGTTGAGGAAAAAAGGGAGGGCAGTGATAGATTTTTGAAACAATACATAATTTTAGACTTATGATTTTCACGTTTAGAAGAGTCTTACCTTTGAACATATTTGCCTGGATATTTAGAACTTGTCTTGTCCTTATAAGGCCTGTGGGACAAATTATAATGGCTCTCATAACCGCAGACAGATATTTGTAAGTTGTACATTTAAGAAAATTACCTACCTTTGCTATTAGGCCAAGACATCATTGTACCAGAACCAAAAGGTAAGGTTCTAGATGAGGAACCATAGAACATAGCACTTTGCATCAATGTCTCTTTAATTGGATAGTAGCACAAGACAGTCAGTCTGCAATAAAAATATATTTTAAATTCCTGCACTTAAACTGAAATCAGCTGTGATTGAATTATTTTTACCTGTATTCTGGATCTCTTGTGATAATTGGTCGATTCTGTATTGGAAGAGTTTCTTTTTCAAAGGATATTTCATTTTCATAAATAAGGTGTTCATCATTAAACTGTATCAGAGAAGAAATAGTATCAAAACTTAATATATTTGATGAAAAGGTCACCTCTGTTTCTTTCTGGGCAGCCTTTTCTCAGTTCCTTACCATTAAGGAAGTGCCACAAGTAGAAACTTGAAATTGAAATAAAGCTTGGTTTTTCGTATATTCTCGAGGTTTACAAACGTTGTCCTTCAGTCTTGTTTTGCCCATGTCAATGGATGGAACTGTCTTCATGTGAGCCAATACAGTTATGGTTCCATTGGGATAGCACACTGAAAAAAATAGAAGACAATGAATTAGATCACAAAACACCTCGCTTAAAGAGGCTATTCTCAACTAAGAACAGACCTTACCTATGAATTCTGAGGACTGAAAATTACACCTAATGGAAAAGGTATTCAGGGTCTCTAGAGTGGCCATTTTCTTCAAGTCCAGATCAAATCTAGCTTGGATTCTCTCAAAGGACACTTCCTTTAAAAAAAAAAAAATAGAAGCATATTTTAAGGATAATGTTGGTTTTAAAATTGCTTAATTGAAATGGCTTTGTTTTGAAATTACTAAATGACAACATATTTTAGAAAGATGTGGGCAAAGTTTTCTTGTCAGAGGGCTGCATTTCATTTCATTCATTTCCCTTTAGGGGAAAACAAGGTACTTGTCCAGAAATGCAATGTTGTTATTGAGAGTTGGGCGGCATACAAATTTGAAAATAAATAAATAATGTAACTGTCTAGATGGGACAGACTCTGTTTGGCTTTGGGGGGGGGGGCAAATGGCCAGAAGATTTAAAGACAGAAATAAGATTGCTTTGTAGGTGGCTTAACATATCTATTTCCACTCTTGTTTTTGCTAAAGTGGCCATTCCCTTTGCTCTTGCCTAAAGGTCCCCCTTTCCTGAATTCAGCTATTTCTATAGAAAATGAATGGTCATTTTCTGCATTATTTTAGCTTGTAGAATCAATTTGTGTTAAAGTTTTAAAGAATTCAATCAGTTCTTGGCTGCTAATTGTGAGGACACTTTCATTAATGGGAAAGAATGCTTTAAATGCCGACCCCTGTGGATGAGCATAGTGCAAGTGTTTTCCACTCAAGTTTATTAAAATGCAAATTAATATAAATATAACTAACTGAAACCTTATAATCAATTCATTTTTCTACAATTGTGTAACATTAGAAATATCATACTGTCAGTACTATATCTTGGCACAGACGTTTACTTAAAGAAACGGTTCACTATGGGGAGGGGGGGGAAATGAAAGAGTCACTTACTACACACACACACACACACACACACACACACACACACACAAGAGGTAGCTTTCAACTTATGACCACAATTGAGCCCAGAATCTATGCTCCTAAGTGAAAAATTTGTTAAGTCAGTTTTGCCCCATTTTACAACTTTTCTTGCCGCATTTCTTAACTGAATCACTGCAGGTATTAAATTAGTAACACTGTTGTTAAGTGAATCTGGCTTTCCTATTGATTTTGCTTGTTAGAAAGTCACAAAAGGTGACCACATGACCCCGGGACACTGCAACCATCATGAGCCAGTTGTCAAGCATCCGAATGTAAATCACGTGACCATGGGGATGCTGCAACAGTCATAAGTGTGAAAAAGGATCATCAGTCACTTTTTTCAATGCCGTTGTAACTTCAAACGGTCATTAAATGAACTGTTGTAAGTGGAGGATGACTTGTATATATTGTTGTATATTAACCATCCTGGTCAGTTTAATAGATTCAGTTCTCTAACTTGCCCACTGAGATATGGAAACATGATGGTTCTGAAGTATGAGAAACAGTCTCATTTGAGTCAAGCTGGACTCATGATTTTATGGATACATCCATGTAGTTTTCTTGACAACAATCTAGAAGTTATTTCATTTTTCCTTCTAGGATTTTTTTTTTGTTTCTATTTTCCTGCAATTTCTTGGTAGTTTCCTCTCCCAGTGCTGACCAGTTTAAGTTATTGGATGAGCAAAGCAAGCTAGGTGCCACCACCTAGCAGGGCTCACTTGTAATATATACCTCATAGATTATCCCAGGAGCAAAAAGAGGCACTTGCAATAGTAGATGAGTATCATTTGTAGTGATAAAATATCCATTTGTACGGGCAGTGATATGATCCAAAAGTGTATTGCCTACATACAGAACCCAGTATTGAAATAGGCCTGCAATGGTAACTTCTAAATATATATTCTCTTTGTCACAGTATCCAATGCCTTCTGGTAATTCTGTAGAAAAAAAGATAAAATTAAGTCACATTAAAATAATCCTACAAAAATATTCCTTTAACAGATTTTTTTTTAAAAAATAAGTCTTAAAAACATGGTTGTACTACAATTCCATAACTGGTAAGCTGATAAAATTTTGAAATACTTTGGTCTTTAGCTAATAGTTTAGATCAGGGTCAAACTTTCTGCTGTACTGGAACAAGAGACCACCATGCTTGTTAAAGAACCAGAGCCAAAATGAAGATACCCACATAGCAAAAAATTTAGAAGTAGGCTGAATGTTGTAGTTCTGAGTTTGGTAGAAGATCATAGTATTTGTAACCCTTATTATATAGTTCGAACATTTTGCCTAAACATTGCAATTAAATTGTTATTTGCTTGTCATTTCCAAACAAAGCTTAGGCAATTTTTTTTCACCTTCTCATTTAGATAGTCTCCAGACAGACTTCGTTGCTCCCAATGGTTCAATTCTTAAAATAGCCTTCTGTCCATTGTGGCTAAAAGTTAAGTCAACTATCTAAAAAGTCACTGATAGGTCAATACTGTCAGTCAACTTACGGACATCTGCCATTATGCATTCGATGTCTGCAGGATGATGATACAACTTCTCATCAGGACCCACGGTCAGAGTGTAGATTACTTGGAGGTGATATCTAGTTTCATTTATGTTCATATACTTAAAACAACAAATTAAAACAATGAAATCCAGCATTCTTTTAACAAAAACTATGTTTAGGACAAAACCTATTACCCAGGCTTGTCTTCTAATCTTTATACAGACTCCTATCATAACTAGGGTTATGTTGGTTAATGGGATAAAATACTATTTTTACTCAGGAATGGAATGTCTATCTCCTAGCAGACCTGTATTTGATGTGATTATAAGGTTGATGTTCTTGTGTCCAAGCCCCCTCCCAAAGGGAAAACAAGAGGCTGCACCAGGAGCTATTTGGCTTCTCTAGAAGCCAGTACAAAAATGGCCATCAAGGCCGAGACCTCCAGTTAGAGGGAAAGTGGTGATCTTGCAGCAAACGAACTTGAGCCCTGTGGGTTGCCAGTCTCCTAAAAGCTCCTTTTCCATGCACGCTAGGACATCTGCCAAAATAAGCTACTTTCAAGCCAAGACATCTTAGTTCAGTTTCAGTTGCACTCAGCAAAGGACTAATATCAATTATGGAGGTTACAGAGTGAGATCGTGTCCTCAGCAAACTATATGGGGCATCTACAGGAACTAGGAGGTGTAAATGTGATATTAAACAGAATGTTTTTTTATATTTTTTCCACAGAAGTATCTTACTTCTTTTAGGACATTGGGATCATCAAAAGGCACTTCCAGTTCAAAGCCTCTTGTTCCATTGAGCAAGAGAATAGCAGAGATCCTGTAGCCATTTTGCTCTGCTTCCTTGAGAGAGAAAGTCACATCTCCTATTTTAAGAGTCACCAGATTGACATCAGGAAGGAAGACACCCAGGAATATATCAAATATCCGTGTTTCTGGAACTGTATCTATGTAAACAAGAAGGAATTTGTTATTGGCAAAATTATAAACATAAGAACTTGGTTATTCCCTGGAAATGATGCTTTTATAATTTACCCTTTGAAAGTAAAGCTGAATAAAATGTTTGCTACTAATGTTCCTTTTTGGGGGGGGGGATGCATTGAAAAAGCACCTCTCAACTTACTTGTTTTCAGTTCTGAAACTCAAAGTCTATAAGCTCTCTATAAACTTTGTTTAAAGTCAAGATTAGATCTGCATATTTAACTAACAATGACTTAGTGGTTAAAGATGCTAAGTTTGTCAGCTGGAAAGTTCACAGCTGGAGTTCAAGACCCAAGCACCACATGAAGGGGTGAGCTCCCATCCTTACTCCAGCTCCTGCCCACCTAACAGTTTGAAAACCTGCAAATGCAAGTAGATAAATAGGCACCACTTTGGTGAGAAGGTAACAGTGTTCTGTGCACCTCAGTTATAAACTGCCACATGATTACAAAAATGTGCTTGGCAACGCTGGCTCCCTCAGCTGGGAAAGAGAGATGAGCACTGCCCTCTCGAGTTGGATTTGACTGGAAAGGGGAAACCTTTGCCTTTATTTTTATTTATCCAACCCCTTTAATTATTTTAATGGCTTTGCTAGATTTCTAAAGGGAAACACAAAATCTATTCTTAATTGAGCAACAATCTGTATACGTGCATTGCATTAACAACATCAGCACCTCTTCTTTAGACTGACAAGCAGAGTCCTTCTGTCTGATTTTATATGTAGCCACACACACTTACTATTGATTACTATTGGTATTCGAGGCAGGAAGGGTATAGTAATTGGTTTAATTACTAGGTACTTGGTGAGCTGCCAATCGCTATCTGTCCAAGAATGTTCCATCAATACATCAATACTATAGGTCACTCCATAGACACTATTAGACACTGTGCTCTGAGAAAAAGACAAATTAGAACTATTAAGTGATGTTGCATATAAACAACTTTAATAAGTTCATACTGTGTTCCAATATGTTACCTTTCATATCACACACTTTCCCCTCTAAACCATATCTATAAAATAGAGCTTATATTTACCTGAAGTCTGCCTCTAGGGGCTCCAATTGGGATAGTTACTCCAATGTGTGTAATGTTGTGTTCCAATGTGTAGTTGAACTTCTCAGGGTTCTCAATTTTTTCCCCATTAATTCCCATTGATACTTTAAGGGATCTGAAAGTGGATTCTTGAAGGACCAGTCTAGGGTTAATCATTGGTATAGTCCACATCAGAGAAGTATCTGTGAAGCTGGTACCATCTGTTGATTTATAGCACTTGTAAGTTTCAGATCATTGCTAAACAAAGATCAAGACTGCATATTACTGTCAGCGGGCAATATTATAACATTTATGAACCACCTTGCTAGACTCCTTGTACACAAGCTGCCAGGTTCTCATTTTAAGAGTTATTATTTCAATGTACAAATTCTTTTTTTGTGCACTTGCAGGTATAATTGGCAGAAAACTTTGCTTGCTAGTAGGTCCTGGTTGTATGAACATCCAATACCTTCCCTCCCCGAATAAGCCATGAATTTTCATGGTAAGAGAGAAAAATACTTGCCAACTGGGCATGATACAGTTGTGTCGATCAGCAGAAGTAGCCATCTTTGCCTGTACCTGGACATGGAGCTGATTGTGCTCACTGCGACCCCATTAACCTGTGAAAAATTCATGGTAAAAGTTTTACTTGACCAGTTGAAGAATGAGATACCTTATAACATCTCTCTTTTGGGCGGAGGGGGGAACAAATTACCACTGTATTTTGAGTTTCATTTGTAGAGTATGGGGAGCGAAGGAAGACTCTCGCCAGTGTGTTATTGAAGCTGTAGCCTAATTTCTCCGCATCTGTTACTCTTGTTGATTTTATCCCAGATGAAGAATAGAACATCAAACTCCACATCTGATACATAACCTTTTGTGCCTAGAAGAGAAAAAAAAATCAAAGACACTAAGAATCTTTAAACTGCAGAATGGCAAAAAAAGATGATTTGACAAGCATGCAAAATTCTGCAGTTTCCATAAGGCTTAGAAGTTGTCAGTTTTGTGAGATAGTCTAGACAAGATGCCCACCCAGAAATACTAGCTCTAACTTTATTGTAAGGTTGCATTAACAGAATCTTGCCCGTCTGAAACTATCTCTCTTCCCCCTTTCCTTTACAGTTCAAGAAACTAGGGGGGGGTCCCTTCTGAGATGTTTGCTATGCCCTATTGCTTCTGCAAGCTAAGCCATCTCTTATCTGATCATCTAGTCCAGGGGTCCTCAACTTTGGCAACTTTAAGACTTGTGGACTTCAACTCCCAGAATTTTTCAGCCAGCAAAGCTGGCTGAGAAATTCTGGGAGTTGAAGTCCACAAAGTCTTAAAGTTGTCAAGGTTGAAGATCCCTCATCTAGTCTGCGGCTTTTCCTCCTTTGGATTATAAAGGCATTTTGATTCATGTCACAGAACAGTAAATTCATTAGTTCCTCCACATCAACCTCTTACGTGGAGTGGGCCCATCTGAGTCATCCCATGGCCCCATGCTTATATCAGACAAAGAACATTCCAAACTGACACTGGCCAGAATATCCTGTGATGAACTTTAGTGACTCCTCCTTTCCTCCTCCTACTGACCTATTAACATGGGATAGCTGACTAGCTAAAACTACATCACCCATAAGCCATCTCTTAAGGAGACAGCACTTAACCCAATAGATGCCAAACATTCTAACATACAGACCTACATGCTCTAGTCAGGGTTACACAATCCAAAACATCATTATAAAAGTTAAAAGGAACCAGCAGATTCTTCCTTTTGGCCCTAATATCTTGGATGAGGTCAGCTTTTGACCAATTTGTGACTTAATGCATTAGTACTGAAATCCCTAGAAGTTCCAGTTAACATGGTCAATTTAGATGTTTAATTTCCAAATCTTCCTTTGTTCTCCAACTGATTTACAGTATCAAAAGACAAAATCTTCTAAGACTTCCTGTAGTCTGGGCTGAGCCTCTCTTATCTCCTGTACATTTCCTTTAATGGCCAGTTGGCCAGATTCTTGTAGATAGCTTAAGTTTGCAATAAATTTTTATACTCATTTGAACTGCTTGAATCTCCTTTTCCTGGGCGCTTGACACTTCCTCTTTGGAAAGACAAGAACCAGGGCTTTTTTTGTCATAGAATGCCCAGAACGGAGTTCCGGCAGCTTTTTTGGATGGAACCTTGTAGGGTAGGCAAGGCAGGTTGTATGACGTGTGTGAGTTCCGGCACTTTTTTTTTTTTTTTTTTACAAAAAAAGCACTGACAAGAACTATCTGATGACTTTAGTATCTTCAGATAAACAGTATAATTTTAAAATAATTATAAAGAGAAGGAGGACAGTGGAAGATTTGACTGGATTTCAAAACACTGTAACACAAAATTGGAAGCATTTCGTAGGCTTCCTTTATAAACAATTGATAAAATATGACTCAAAAACTGGTAAAGTTAAAACCAGAATGTTAAACTGAGGCAGAATTTAGATATAATTAATGTCACAACGAGAATTTCAATGCAATAAGTAATATTAAATTCACATTAAATATTTTATTTAGAGAACATTGGTATAAAAATGTTTTTCTACTGATACTTTACTCCAAATATTGATTGCTAAAATGGAGAGTTTCTTTTGTAGAAATCATTGCAAATGTAATGAACAGATTTGATCATTTTTCATATTTGGTAGCAATGGTGTAAAAGTCAACAATTTTGGGAAATGATGTATTATGCAATGAAACAAATTGTAAAAGCTTTCTATTCTATTTTTTTTTTTTTAAAAAACATATATTACTAAATCTTATACTTCCACAAGGTATACCGAAGAAGCTTTGAACATTGTGTAAATGCGAAGCTTTTTTGGAAATTGTGTAAAGTTGATTCTGCAGAGGAATGGATAAATTGTGGGATTATATTGTGATGTCCACAATAAATTTGCACTTCAAAAATAAATCTGACAATAGAATTTAAATCAAATTGTAAGCCATTTTGGAATAATTCTGTATATGAGCTTGTATCATATACAAAATTTGGGTTTCTCTTAATATAAAATCTAAATATTTTAACTTTCAATAATCTACTAAATAAATAAGACACTTTACTTTGTACAGAAAGTACTGCAGTTCCCAACTGTATTTTATGGTTTATACTATAATTATTACTGTTGACATTTGTATATTACCCAGTTTTTAACCAGAGCCTACAGCTTTTAAAACAATGTAATATATTTAGTTCTGCAAAACTAATGAAATATTGAACATTCTTATTTAACAAATTTAGCCCTATTTAGTTTTTATGATGCTTGTGAATTCTTTGTGGTTACATTTTTGTTGTTGTTGTTCAGCTTTTTTCCTCTTTTTTATTTAAAAAAAAAATTAAGAAAAATAAAATTTAAGAAACAAGAAAAGTAGAAATGCTTACAGTACCAGGGAAAATAACTAGTACTGGGCAATATAAAACATAGGCAGCATAGATTTTTCTATGCAATCTTGATAGTAAACTGCTATATTTCTAATCCACAACTGGGAGGGGGATACTATTTAGAAGCCTTTTAAATATAATTAAAAAGAATCAATTTGTTTATGTTTATAAATTACCTACTGACTGAGGAAGGTATTTAATTAAATAATATTCCTACTATACCTCTGGTAGTGCTGACATCCATTCTCCTGTGTCAGGATCTGAAATCCCTGGGACATCAGTCTTTATTGATACCTTGAAATAGAACGAAGCATTTTTCAATAGAGAATCCAGCAGGGTTATTACAAAATCCAAACTTGTTCTAATTCTTGTTGTTTTAGAGAATTAAAATGATGAATATTTTCCTATTCTCTTTTAAACTAGAAAGAAAATACAATACCTATCTGCCCAACAATTAGATATAATACTATCACTAGTAAAAATAGAGCCAGTGAATCATTGTCATGGGTACATTTTGTTTTCAACAGATTGCCTATATTCTTAATGGGCATATTGCATTTTGACCCATATCTTACCTCCATGTAATTCTCTTCACACAGAATTTCCCTTGGAGCCCATGAGAAGTAGGAGCAGTGCATGGGATGCTGGTAAACTGTAGCTGTCCGCAGGTCTTCAAATAATGATACTTTGATGTGTACAGTAAGAGAGAACCTTTCATCTTTCTGCAATCATTGAAAAAGCATATGTAATGTCACTGGGGGGAGTACCATTTTTAGCAATGGGGAATGCTTCCTGCCACAAAGTTCTTGAGAAAGCCAGCATTTAAATCAGCGGTGTCCAACATTGGCAACTTTATGACCCTGGATTTCAATTCCCAGAATTCCCCAGCCAGCCAACTCCCAGGCATTCTTGGGACTGAAATCCACAGTTCTTAAAGTGCCAAGGTCGAATACCTCCAATTTAGATACTTAAAGGTTTGTTAGCTTGTACCTAATGGTATCTAATTATCTTATTAATAAATGCATTAGGGGGAGGAGAGAGATGTCATTCCCATTGTAGTCTCCCCCCTTCAAATCTATGGGACTGCTCAAAAAAATTCTGGGACTGAGAAACAAAGGGGAAGTTCTATGGTATAAATAATAGTTTACTCTAGCTATTTGGATTGAACCCATTGCATTTTAGATTGCTTTGGTTGTAACCTGCCTCTTCATGCATGAGGGGACTGATATGCAACCTTTACACAAATTTGTCATAATCAGCAGATACTGATCCCCCACTGTAGCACAATGCTTTGTGTTCTCTTGCAAAACAGGTCAAACAATTGCTTTTTTCAAGCATGTTTCAAGCTTATGTCTGTTTCCAGTTTTCCCCCCATCACTAGTGACCAAAGGTGACTTAGCACAAAAATTAAAACACAACTTAAAATAAATTAAAATCTTGTCATAAAAACAAACTCCCAACAGACCTTAATTTCATTAGCCCAAAAATCATTCTATGCAGTCCTGCATAAATAATACACTGGCACACTTGATTCTTCTCCAGTGTATATATGATGTAGATCAGCAAACTGATCTCTAGAATGTACTATATTTAGGATTTTTTTTTTTGTTCAGTTGTGTCTGATTTTCAGAGAGTGCCTGAGAAAATCTCTGCAGGTTTCTTGGCAAGTTTTTTTTTTCTTTTCAGAAATGATTTGCCCTTGCCTCCTTCCTAGAGCTGAGAGAAAGTGCCCTTGCCTCCTTCCTAGAGCAGAGAGAAAGTGGTTCAGGGTCACCCAACTGGCTTTGTGCATAAGGTGGGTTTCAAGTTCATGGTCTCTTGGATTCTAGCCTGATGCCTTGATCACTACACCCAACTGACTCTTGCCTTTAGGATAGGAATTCACAAAAATAATAAAGTTGTCAATCACATCCATTAGTTTAATTTTCCTATCTACATTTCTGTGTGGGGCTCTGATACAACAAAAGCTGTCTCTCTGCAGAATACTTGCTGTTTAATGATCCAAGGGGGCCTCATATTCTTAAAATAGCAGGAGGTAAGAAAGCCAAAAATAAAAACCACAGATGCTATGTCTCATCATTAGTTGCAGATAACTAGTTTGAATCTCAGCTCTGTTTAACTGTATGAAATCTGTTAAATTCAGCCTTTGTATTCCCTTTCCCCTTCAGTGCTAGAGATCCTGACATTGTTCAAATGTCACCTCAGCAGACACCTCAGTTTAAAGTAAGAAAGTGTAAAATATTTTTTTATAAAAACAATCAAAAGAATCTCTATTCTCTCTGTTTTATGTGTTTACCTGTCATGCAGACTATTGCTTTATTTATGCTTACCAAAGCTTAGAAGGTGTTAGGTTTTTTTCTTCTGGGGATGATACCTAACAGAATATTACTTGGGCTCACCTCATTTATAACATGACAGCCAAGGAAAGAAGCCCGAAAGATAGGATTTCCCCACACATCCTTCGACAGAGTATAGCCACAACGAGCTCCCAACATCTGGTCTACCAAGAATGGAACACCAGATGGGTCTAGAAACATAAAAAAAGGTATCTTATGGATAAGCTACCATGGTAGCCAGCCTAACCAACAAGATGAGAAACAGCAATTTTTTCAATGGATAGAAGAAAAAATGTAGTTCTCCAGGTGGTACAGAATGGTAAGTCTCAATATCTTCCACCATCCATTATTATGATTCATTGGCAGTTATGGTTCAGGAACACCTGAGATTCATAGAGTTCTTATACCTGCTTTATGGAACTTGATTAGCTACCTATTCCTTAGCGTTTCAAGACATTCTTTAAATATTAACTTAAAATACTATACTCTGATTTTATTTTTCTCTCTTAAAATATTACAGATAGTCCTTGTTTAATGACCACTCATTCAGCAAATATCAAAATTATAACCAGTCCTTGTAGTTGCAGCCATTGCAGCATCCCCACAATCATGTGATCACAATTTGTGTGCTTGGGAACCAGCTTGCAATTACAATGTTTGCAGGATCCTGCTGTCATGTGACCATTTGCAACATTCACTGTGGCCTACTAACAAGCAAAGTCAGTGGGAAAGCTGGCAGGAGGTTACAAATGGCAATCACATGATATTGTGTTAACTGCATGGAATTCACTTAACAACCAGCAAGCAACCAGAACTGAGGCAACTGCCTTTGTAGGTCAGCACAGTCAGGTGATATTTTGTTTGGCAATGGAGTTGCTGCTCCCAATTATTGATGGTAAGTGGGGATTTACTTTAAACACTCTTAGTTCTGTTTTATTGCTATTTGGTCACTATATAAAGCAAGCCGTTTCCAAAAAATAAATCTATGTTTTAAGAACATAGATTATATTTTTATGTGTTTCACTATTCACTACCAGTTTAGAGTTTGACCTTGTTAATTCCAGAGCTCTGTACTCCCATGGCATAACTAATAATTCCTGCAATGGCCTCAGCAAATGGAGAATGACAATAGGCATGCAGTGATGTCAATATACAAATTCCAGGTTTAGACTAGTGTCCCAGCATCTGATCCAAGGACACAAGTCCAGTACTCTGAATTGGATTACTAAACACATTTTCACACTAACCTTCATTTCAATAAAACTTTCATTTGAAAATATTAAGTTCTTGCTCAAATTGCAAGTACAGGCAGTATTTTGTTTAACATCTCAGATAGCTCACCAATGACTTCTATCTTGAAAAACTTCTTCTGAAGAAAGGACTTGTTTAGCTTCATCCAAAATATGCTGGAGAAGCAGGTACTTTCTATAAAATCTAGAAAGGGGTTGAGAAAAATTACTGTAGTTATAAAAGTCATAGTCTGGTCACAACATGTTAATTCTCCAGTTTCTAAAGTTCTAAAAAGTTGGCTGAAAGCTGAAAGATACGGTTGCATAAGGCCACATTCTATGCCTTAAATTCTTGAGAGAGTTGAATGTGGTTACAAATGGAAACAGAGTAGAGTGCTCTTCCCTGATTCTAAGGGCTCCAGACTGTTCAGGGTCATAAATGATATACATATGCACCTCACAGTTCTCTCCTCTAGCAAAGGAGAATAACTGGGGAAGGTCTCAGGGAACAATTAGCGTTTGTGTCCCCTGAATATTGTCAAGTGCCTCATGTTGACTACTAGTAGCCCTGCTCCGGATTTAAGTTAGGAAACTGCAGACATTACTTGGAGTTCACCAACCTGGAGAACTTACTGCTTCTTGCATCCAACCTATTTCACACTGCAGTAAAAGAAGCATCAGCAAAATTCTGCATGAGAGAAAGAATGCATGTTTGTGTGTTCATACACATATATAGCTATATCCCCACATCATGTACAGACATAGATACATAGGTCTACAATCAAATAAAAGAAAAAAAAGAAAAAGAAAAATGTCCTGCTAAAACCACTTTACCTGCAAAACAGCTTCTCTACTTTCCCCATGCTTTTACCAGATCCTAGTCAAGCAAAGAACAGTACACTCAATGTACTTTAGCAGCACAGCTCCTTCCTACCACAAAACAGACAATGGAAAAGAGACAACCTGGAGGGAAATAAAGAAAGTATCCTCTTTTATCACAAAGAAGAAAAAAAATTGTTATATCTGTAAATTAGGGGCAGGTGTTCTTGTAGCCATTTGCTAATGATTAGAAAGACGTTGCTTGTTTGAATCGCCTGTGGGCTCTTTTGACCAAAATTCTTGGTATACTTCCTCATGTGAAAGCCCCATTGATAATCTATTCCACAATTATAGTTTGGATCACAGATTTATTATTTTAATACAATGATTCTCTTTTCTAGCTTCTATAAAGATAATTATTTAAAACCTATCAGTTAAATATCCTCTCAACCCCATAAGGTTAATAAGTTAAATGGTTTACTCCAAAGCTATTTTACATGAACAGAAGCAGCTGAAGAAGCTATTGCAAGTGGTTCCACTGAGCCTTAAAGAAAGGCTGTGGTCAGATTCAATGAAGAGATGTGTAAGAGTTAAACATGAGTGGATCATGTGACCAGGTAAGGTAATCCCTCTTGGCCTGCACAGTAGCAGTTTGATAATATCCAGAGGAACAATGTCAGTTGTAAGGGTTTAATCCCTGATAAATATATAAAGGATTAGGTTTTAGTACAGCCAGTCATTACAGCCTTTTCTATGAAGATTTATTCTGAAATAATCTTAGTCAAAGGAAGCATGTTCTCTGGCTGGGATTGAAATTTTATTTTCAATTTAATGATGTTCAAGTTTGAATAAATAAGCTCCACCGTAATTCTGCAAACCTAAATGCATATATTAGGAGGTAAGCTTCCTATTAAATGCCTTGTAATCTGCGTCATAGTATTAAAACTGGGATGTAAATAGCTATACTGTACCTTCTGCCTTTCTTCATCCAGATCTGCCTGGTGGAATTTTATTTTCTCTTTAGCGAAGCATTACTTGGGATGGTAACACGTGGCAATGAGGTAACTTGTGGCATAGACCTTTGGCCTGATGGAAAAGATGCAATTTACAGGTTTCTGTTTGAGGACTGAGGGAAAAGAAGACATAGATAAATAAAGTAATGCAATTCTAGATTTTTTTAAATGAATGTGCCCTTATTTGCTTGGAACTTTAATGCTTATAATTATTTCACTAAACAATGATTTTTCCCTAAATATATGCTTTATGTGATAATGATTTTTTTTAATGATTTATTTTCTTACCATACCGTTTTCATTAATCCATTTTCAAACAAAACATTTTTTTTAAATGGAGAATTGTTTCATTAAAAAATAAACTGGCCTTTTTGATGAACTGCCAGTGCTATGTACATAATAAATAACTCTTAAAATATGGGAAAGGCTTCCTTTGATCTAGAATAATATCAAATAAGTAGCATGATGATGCAATTAATTGCCTAGAAGCAGCAAATAAAAATATCAGATTTATAAAAACAATATTCATCATGCAAATAATATCCACGTGGAAATATTTGGACTGCCTAGAAGTTATCTTGGAATTAAAATTAAACATCAAGTTTAGGGCATTTTTAGATCGCTTTGCTATTTGGTTTTGATAGGTTGTAGAATTACAATATAAATATTGTTTCTAAAAATAGCTACAAGAAACCAGATTGGCTGTACATATGACCTGGGGCTAATTCACCCTTTTACAGTTGATGAATAACTTTGGGTAAGTCATTTAGGCAACATTTTTAAATTCTGAGGAAATAATCCTTCAAATGTATTTTAACAAGGACAAAGAGAGCAAGATTTTTTTGGCTGGCACAATTTCTATCTCACTAGCTGTGTTTGCTCAACATAATAAACTTAGACCAACCAATTTATTTAGCCTTCTATAATGTACAAATCCATCCAATTAGCTGCTACAGATAATAATGCTTACTTCTATAGAAGTACAAAATATTCTCCCAAAGTGAAGGTCAACTATGTATGATATAAGTTTAGATGAAGAACTTTATTAATAATAATAATAATAATAATAATGTTGGAAGGGACCTTGGAGGTCATCTAGTCCAACCCCCTGCTCAGGCAGGAACCCTACACCATTTCAGACAAATGGCTGTCCAGTCTCTTCTTAAAAACTTCCAGTGTTGGAGCATTCACTGCTTCTGGAGGCAGGTTGTTCCATTGGTTAATTGTTCTAAATTGTCAGGAAGTTTCTCCTTAGTTCTAAGTTGCTTCTCTCCTTGATCAGTTTCCATCCGTTGCTTCTCGTCCTGCCTTCAGGCACCTTGGAGAATAGCTTGACTCCCTCTTCTTTGTGGCAGCCCCTGAGATATTGGATATTAGTCTGGGGTTTAAAAAGTGGAACTCACTCCATTTACCTCTCCTGGAACATACTGTAACTATTACAACATTTTTGCAAAGGTGGTCTTAGTCATGGGGCCTAACTTCCTGCTCAGAGCAGGAATTTAAAAGCATTTCTAGCAGATGGCTGTCTATTTTCTGTTGCATGAACCCAAAAAACAAGCAATGTAAAGGTCCTGCAAGAACTGCCCAAGTTGATAAAGTCCAGTGTAAGTAACCATGTCCAAATGATTGTTATCAGTTGCCCTTTAATGCTTCAAGGGCTTTCAGTAGAATAGCAGAGCTGGTGTGGTGCCTGTTGGGGAGAGGTGAGGAGGAAATATTTATCCATCCTACAAGCTGAGATTTATGACAATATGTTTATAAACCAGTGTGTTCCTCTTAAAGCTGGGGACTAGAAGGACACTCGTGTCTTCTAAAGGAATGTGCTGAAAAACGTGTGGAGCTTGGGCAGGTAGTTCTTGAAACTTCACAAACTTTTGCTTCCCCCCCCCTCTAAGGTAGATGTGGGTAAAGGAGAAGTCACTATCCAAAACCCTATAAAGTTACTAAGATATCTAGAAAGGCTCCATCACCATGGAGCTTTGAGAGGGCAAGGTCTGCACCTCTGTGAATTGCAGCCCTTCCTATTTGACCACCTTGGAGCATCACATAAATCAAAGGAAAGGAGAGACAGAAGGAGGAAGAAAGAAAGGAGAGTTCACCAGAAGTGAGAAATGAACATTCTCCAGAAGTGGTCCTAATGCTAGAGGACAAGACAGGATTTCCTGCATTCCAAGCAAACTTTTCCTTCCATGAAGGCTTAAGCAAAGCCTTTGAAGCACCTAAAGCAATGGTCCCCAACCTTTCCAGCTTGGCCGTCCAGCCCACCACATGGGTGTGTAAGTGGCAGGCGCGTGCATGCACAGCTCCATTTGTGCGAGCAGCATGCTCCCTCCGCTCACGCAAATGGAGCTTAGCACCTGAGCAGAGGGTGCTTATGCTCATGTGCAAAGTTCCACTCGTGTGAGTGGCAGGCACTTATGCTCATGCATGAAGCTCAACTTATGTGAGAGGAGGATGCTTGTGCTCACATGCAAAGCTTCATTTGCACTTGTGGAGTTTCGCATTCATGTCCACACTTGTCTGCCATTCACTTGCAGACAATGCAGCTTCCCATTTTCCTGCAGCCTAGTTTCAAACAGGCTACAGCCCAGTAGTGGCCACAGCCTGGGGGTTGGGGGCCCCTGACCTAAAGTATCTGTGGTTAAGCAAATCATTATTTAGTGGAATATCCCAGTGTCCCAGACCATTCTGTCTAGGACAGACATGTCAAACACAAGACCCAGGGGCCGGATGTGACCTACGAAGCCATCCTGGAAAAAGTGAGGGAACGGCCCCCACTGCCTTGGTCCTGGCCCAGGCCAGATGGCTGAGAGCCAATGTACAATTTTGTGGTGGCCATCGATGCTGAAACACATTCAGTCTCCCTCTGACTTTGCCCTGGTACCCATCATGAACAACCTGGCTAAGGAGAGCAAGCACAGCAGCAGCAGCCTTGAGGAAAAGGTAAGTAAAGCTGGGCACCCCCTTGGGGAAGTGGGGCTGGGCTTGGTACCATGGGTGCTCGAGGGCCAGGCTAGGCATTTGACCTCTGCTGCCCAGGGCTCCAGGCAGCCTGCACCACCATCCAGCCCCCCCATGGCCTGAGAGGAACAGTGAGGCTCCTCCAGTGGACCATTACTTGGCACTTACCCTGGTCCCACCCCCTTCTGCCAGAGACCCTCAGATCTGTCCCATTTCTGCCCAGGCCCACACAGGCACCATTGATGCAAACAATGTAGTGCTGGCCATGCCCACCCAGTAGGCCACATCCACTCCCTCCACGCCCACCCAGTAGGCTGTACCCACCTTGACCACACCCACCCAGCCCCCCAAGGGCAACTGCAATGCTGATGCAGCCCGCAATGAAAGTGAGTTTGACACCCCTGGTCTAGGACATCTGCTGGCATAAAGCAGTTTCAAAGAAAGTCAAAGGCTTTCATTATATAGTTATGACTGTCTTATTGCATTTTTTTATCCTGCTGTAAATGCCCCACATGCTGTTCCAGCCTTCCATTAAACTTTAGCTAAAATACAGAGTCAGCAGATAATCCTTCAGGGATATTTAAGCCTAGAGTCAACACTTCTCTCTGATAGATGAGGGGTTTTGCTTCATGGCAAAAATCCAGGATGAGATTTGATTGTATCACAGTGCAGGTGACCTGTAACTAGCACTGGAACAGAAAGAGAGACCCATATTTGGGTCTATAGGAGATTATTAATAGAAGGACTGATCTTGCTACAGGCTGAGATGGTTCAGCCAATGACTGAGGAAGATCTTCCTATGCTAATAGAGAGGTGTCTACTTGTAGTTCTTATGCTGAAAAGGAAGAATTAGGTGCTATAATTGAGAGGAATGGATCCTGTGCTAGATCCATATTTGCTAAGCCTCTTCCAATGTGACTTTGAGTGCTAGGTGACTTCCAGATCTTCTCTGTAATTCTTCTCGACTTCTCCAACTTACATCATATTTTAGCTGTACACCAGGTTTGCATGCCCTCATGCAAAGCATCATTTTTCTAGAAAGATTTGCCCATGTCACCCCTTGCTCTGACTAAGGGCTGGAGAAAGGCTACCAATATTCTGTATGGGTATAGAAGGTGAGAAAGTCCCATGAAAAAGTTGTCTCTAATAAAATCAGAAAACAAAATATAAGATGAATAAATGAGTAAAGTTTGCTGAAACTAAAAGTATATCCATAAAATGTTAATATAAAACTATCTCAATCCTTTTAGCATATAACTTTAATCATATACACCTATTGTTCCATTTTAGTACAATAAGTACGTTATTTCAGTACAATGATATTTATTGTATGTATTCCACTGGGACACAAATTAAAAAGAGTGAGGCGTCAATCATGTCATTATGCTACTATCTTGATTTTTTCAGTCCTCTTATAGGGATTGTACAAAAGGGTATTCTTGTTATTAGCCTAATGACCACCATTTTTGCTTCTGTGCATTGTGCTTGCATTAGGGACGCCATTTTGTGAAGGCAGGAAGATCACATACACAGTCCCAGAGACAGGGGAATAGAGCGAGAAAATAATGAAAGATGATTGGTTAATATTCTGTGTGCCAACAAGTGTCACCTTGTGATTGGTTGTTACCTGTATATAAATAGAAGTGCCTCACTGACCACTGATTGGCACTTCTGAACACAGCTGCCCGTGTTTCAGACAGTGTTTCACCCAGCAACTTCACTTGGCCAAATAAAGTTCTGTTTGAGTTGGAAGCCTCTGCTTGAGTCTCCTGATTTTCCCTCTGGAACCTCAACTTCTTCCGGTAGTTGCTGACCCTTACACCCTTATGGATGGGTCCTGTCATTTCTTATTACACTAATCTAGGTTCCTCAGGAATATGCAAATTAGAATATGCAAAACTCATGAACTAGAACATGTGTTATACTTGGTTTTGATCTAGCAACCCCAGTTCATAGATAATTGTTAAGAAAAATGCAGTGTCCCCTAAGGAAGAATCTGGAGGTGAGATTTTAGAGCACAGGTAGGGCAGTTTATCTTTAAAATCAGTTCTGCATCACCCCATTTATATTTCCCCAGGACTGTAAAACCGTCATATGCAAAACCTTGTCTTAAAGCTCATCACTGCAAAGGTAGTGGATAGGCCACAGGGGCCTGTCAACAGAAAAAGAACAGTGCATGAAAGAAAGCAGCACATGGCAGATCCTGGAGAGGCTTAGGCCACGGGGGTAATCGTGCCTTTCCCTAAAGGGGGGGGGGTGCTAGGACTGAAATCAAAGCTGCTATTTCAGGCCTAGCCTCAGAGTTGCTGCCTAGTGCCACC